AGCATATAGTATATTACTCAAAATAAATATATATTAAATATATGTATTATATAATCTAGTAATATATGGTCTATATAAATATATATTTATATATTATATTCATAAATATATATTAAATATATATCCTTATCTATATTTAATAAGGATATATATTTACCCAATTGTGCCACTTTGAGGAATTTTTCCAAGGAAATACTGAAATAGATATATATTTAAATCTGTATATATTCTTATATATTTAATAAATATATATTTATATTAAATATTCGTATATTTATTAATATATATAAGGATGAGTGGATGGAAGAGAGGTAGAAGCTCCCTTATAGAAAACCATGAATTTTATTTTATTTTTTGAGACAGAGTCTGGCTGTATCACCCAGGCTGGATTTAATGACTGGATCACAGCTCACAGAACCTCAACCTCTCAGGTGCAAGCAATCCTCCTATCTCAGCCTCCGGAGTAGCTGGGACCGTAGGCCAGCGCCACCACACCTGGCTAATTTTTTGTATTTTTTGTAGAGATGGAGTCTCATCTTGCCATATTGCTCAGGCTGGTCTTAAACTCCTCGAGCTCAAGAGATCCTCCTGCCTCAGCCTTCCAAATTGCTGGGATTACAGGTGTGAGCTACCACACCCCATGAAATTTTTGAAAACAAAAAAATACTGAATGGTCTTACCCTACCGGATCTTAATATTTCATACATTATAGAGCCATAGGGATTGAGCTCATGTGGTACTGGCACCAAAATCAACAGACAGGTACATGAAATAGAATAGATCAGCCAGATAGAGACTCCAGTGCAGTTAGAATTTGGTTGTATATTAAAGGAAGCATAAAAATTGTTGAACAAGTGGTAATGGAACAACTGGGTAAAGATTTTGGAAAACTTTAAAAATTATATCTTCATCTCTTACCACATATCAAATTTTAGATGAAGAGTTAAATACTAACAAAGGCTTAAAAAACAGAAGAAAATAAAAATGAATATATTTTTAATTTTTATTGTTTTATTTTATTTTTATTTTTTGAGATGGGGTCTCACTCTGTCACCTATGGTGGAATGCAGTGGTGCAATCTCGGCTCACCGCAGTCTCTGCCTCCTGGGCTCCAGGTGATTCTACCTCAGCCTCCTAAGGTGATTCTACCTCAGCCTTCTAAGTAGCTGGTTCTACAGGTGTGGGCTACCACACCCTGGTAATTTTTGTATTTTTTGTAGAGATGGGATTTCACCATGTTGCCCAGGCTGGTCTTGAACTCCTGAGCTCAAGCATTTTGCCTGCCTTGGCCTCCCAAAGTGCTGGAATTACAGATGTGAGTCACCATGCCTAGCTGAATCTATTTTTTACACTTTTAAATCTTAGTAGACAATTTTCAGACTGTCCAACAACATTAGATGTGTTCAACCTCACTAGTTTCCAAGAAAATGCAAATTAAAATAATGAGATCTATTTAAGCTAGAAAATTAGCAAAGGTTAAAAAAAACTCAGCATTGTCAGAGGTGTGAGGAAATAGGTAATTTCATAGTCGAGTGATAAGAATATAAATTGGCATAACTTGTCTGCAAAGCAATTTGGCAAGTCTTTTCAAAGTTTGTAACTATTGACCCAATTATGCCACTTTGAGGAATCTATTCCAAGGAAATACTGAGAAACTCTAAAATTTAAATAAAAGGTCATTTATCATTGGCTTATCTATAATGACAAATAAATAACAGTGAGGGGAGAGTTCAATGAATTAAGAAATCAAGTTATAATCCTAAATTTAAAAATCTGATGGGTTTCTCATTTTAAAATGTATATATATTTACAGATACAGGTGTAGATATAGATCAGATAGATAGGGTAGATAGATAGATAGATAGATAGATAGATAGATAGATAGATAGATAGATAGATAAAAAAGGACTAGAAGGGAATACCCTCAAATATTAAGAGTGGAGGTGAGCGAGCAGATTACTGGTTTTTCTTATGGTCATTAAAATTTTCCAATTTCTCTATAATTTATATTATTAGATTCACATATGTGTTGAAGTTGATTTAAAAATAGTAACCTGTTCTCGTCTTTTTATATTTGTATTATTTCACCCAAAGTATTTGAAAAATCTGTTTTTCAAGGGGCATATAGGAAGGGTTCATTCCTGGTCCCCATCAGTATCTTTTGCTTATCCTTGGGGACAGGCAGAGGCCAAACCCCGACCAAAGCAGCAAGAAATTAAGAATTCAGGGATGCTTGCTTCATTCATATTTAGTACCAAGCCATTCACTCTTCCCTTTGTCTTCATTTTTCTGGTTTCTGTGTATGCCATCACGTAAACTGTCCTTTTGGTGTTTAATCTGTATCTAATACAGGAATGACTATTTCCTTAACTTCTGTGTTTTCTGAGAGGACTAATTAATTATTCCTTTTCATTATTTTATAACTGGTAAGTTACAGAACTAACTTGACTGCAGCCCCTGGTGCCACACAGTAAGAATGTTTACTTGGTGTGTGCTTGTTCTGAGCTGGCCTAGGCTGAGTCACCGGCATCCTTGGGCCTGAACACCCACCCCAATGCACTCCCCTGGTGCCTCATCATGGGCCTTCCACGTGAGAGCTGGATATGGCTCAAAAGAACCAGACTTCTTGGGCTATGAGAGGGAACTACAAAGAGGAAGAAAGTGAGAATAAAGGAAAAGAACCTGTGGAAGGAGAGCGAAAGGCACGGGGACACATTGGCCACACGCGCGCGCACACACACACACACACGGGGACACACGCACCACATGCACACACACACACAACACACACACACAAATATGCATTTCAACCCTGGCTCTGAAATTGTGTGATGGATAGTAGGTGAAACCTCTGTTCTCATTACACATCTGCCTTCATTAAAGGCCACCAGCGGAATGGCAATCCTTTTGGTTTACCAGTTTGGTCATAGAGTGTGGATGGCCTTAGCGCTTCTGGAAGCAGCCACAGGTTCCATGCCTGTGAGCCTCTCATGGAGCTATGTGCTGTGCACCATGCCAAACACAAGATGGCAGTATTACTACATCTGCGTTCCTACACCCACCCATCCTCGGTTCCCACACACAGGGCCTGATGCAAACTGGACACACACACACACAGAGCTGTCCCTCAAATAAAATAATGACACTTTGCCTATCATCAAGTGGGACCTGTGTTTGAGACTGAGTTTGCCTCCTTCGTGGGGGTCAAAGGCAGGACACGCTATGTGATTTGTAGGGCCCAGTGCAAAAGGAAAATGTAGGGCCTCTTGTTCAAAAAGCAGGGAAAAAAGTGCTGTTAAAGGCAGTAAAATATGAAGCCTTTTCCTTTCTTTCCTGGACTCTTGACTTGTTATATGATTTTTTTATTTGCTATTAATGTTCTAAGTCAAGAAAAACAGAATCATTAAATGTACTTTTAAATCATTAGCATCAATTTTACCACTCACGGTCATATTGAGGAATGCCAGTTCACAGTGCAAATGTAAGAGCATTTAACTCATAGGCAGAATCAGTGAAGTTATACAATTTTTATTTTGTTGCTTGTATATGCTTATGTGTTTTGTTCTTACCCTAACAGTGAAAATATTGCATAAAACTAACTCAGTTGCTTTTATTTTACTTCTTGATCCATGCACATTCTACCAGCACCTTCTGCCTTTGGCTTACTCATGAGTAAGAGAGGACTGAAAGGAAAAGGAACTGTTTTCCCTTTAGAATGTCAATGCTTTCATGTATAGGAAGCAAGTGCTAGTGGCCTCTTGGGGCTGCCAGTGCCCCAGCTGACTCAGTCATCGACATAGTACTCTTACCTTGGACTCACTTTGAGTCCCATTCATCTCCCATATATCATGGGCCCACCAGAATTCCATGTGGATGGGGCATCATACAAAGGGAGCAGCAAGGAACGATGGGTGCATGTGTCCCCTCTGCTCATGCGGATGTTCCATTGTCCCATTGGACCTCACTTACAGACACAAATTCAAAAACATAGTGATTCAGAATTTCAAGATAGTGACAGTAGAGCATTAAAGCAAGCACAGGGCTCTCCTGAATGCACGGGGGATACATGCACAGACACACACAAACACATAAGTAAGAACAGCAGTGGCTGTGTGACACACGAGTGACATGCCTGCAAAGCCAGCCCAGGTCACAGGCTCTCATGATCTCAGTCACTTGCATTTTCCCAGTCCACACTTATATCTCCAATGAGTGTTTTCGCCAGGGGCCAGAGCTCCTTCAACCCCACATGTACCAGTCTGAGCTAGTGAGCATCCATTCCTTCAGCAAACATTTATTGAGCATTCCTGTTACATGTCAGATACTGTTCTAGGAGCTGGGGATGCAGCAGGGTACACAGTCCCTGCCCTCATGGAGCTTACACTGTAGTGGAGAAGGGGGAAGAGCAATTCACAAATCAATAAATATGTGTCAAATGGAGACATGCTATGAAGAGAAAAGCAGAGTAAAAAGAGCATTATGGTAGCAGATATTGTTACCTAATGTAGTCAGAGAAGGGCTCTCTGATGAGCCGGCATTTGAACAGAGACCTTAAGGGTGTGAGGGAGTGAGCTAGGAGGTTCTGGGGGAAGGACCTCCAGGCAAAAGGAATGGCAGCTATGAAGGCTGTGAGTGGGTGTGCATGGTGTGTCTGAGGGGGAACAGGGAGGCAGCAGCTGGAGCCAAGTGAGTGAGAGGAAGAAGGTAGGTGAGGTCAAAACAGTGGGGGCACAGGGGGAGCCCATGTAAGGCCTTGCATTCCCACATAAACTTCAGTAAAAACTGTCTCCGCTACATTGCCTCCTCTCTTCTAAAGGCCTTATGTCTTGATGAATGGCCTCGTTGGGAATGGGAGCCACCTTTGGCTCCTTTTCTCTCATGTCTTTAGCCTGACTTCTTGCTCCAGCTACTGCCTGGCTGACCACTTCCAGGCAGGGTGCTACCAGCTTAGTCCAGCTGCAGTGACACGTACCTTGGGTTCACACCAGGAACCTCCCTGGGGCTTCTCTGGTGTTGGTGTGGACACCTGAGGAGCCAGGAGCCTGTTCAGCTCTCATGTGTGCATAGCTTCAAGTGCAGGGGGAGTGATGCCCGTGGGGACACCCTGAACCCATGGAGATGGAAGCCTACGGATAACACATTTCATAAGTCTCCTTGGAAGGCCTTAGCGAGACATCAAGCTCCAGTCAACCGCAGCAGTGGCTAACTTAGTAGTCACTTAGTGGCGTCCTTGCTTCTCTTTTTCATTCGTTCTCGTTCCACTGCCCTGATCCCTCACTCTTGCTCCCAGATAAACAAATTGCACACACGCCTCTGTCCTGGATTCTCCTTTTATGGGTGGCGGGAATAAATCAGGCTCAGATAAAAAATATCCCTTCCCACTGATCATTCAAATCTTGTTGATTCTACTTCAAATTGTTTCTTTAATTTTTCCCATTCCTGCTCCTACTCCCCTGGTTCAGACCCTCTTCATCTCTTCTCTGTACTCGGACCAACTGGACTCCTACCTGCTCTTTTGCCTCTCACCCACCCCCCATTTTTTTTTTTTTTTGAACTTAACCCATCATCTCTCCTACAAAAGCATTCATCCTTTTCTGCTGCCAGAGTGAAGTTTCTAAGACACTACAACTACTCATTTCTGGTACCTCCTTATCACCTACAAAATAAAGTTTAAACCCCTTAACATGATGTTATGATCGCTGTCCATGCCTGCAGCATCGTGATTTTCCGTCTCTCCCCAGAAACACCTCTGACCACCTTGGACTGTTCATCTGTCGTTTCCCCTTCAGTGGTTCTTCCTCTCGAAGCCTTTCTTTCTGCCAACCTTTCCATTCAGTCCCCTTTAGTTTATCAAATGCTTAATTGAACATAGGCACATACCAGTTCCTGTCACCCGAGGAGGTGAGGAGCAGGTGACAAGATAGGGGAAGGTAGTGTTGCAGAATACGTCGCATGTCAACACAGTCCCATGTAAATGTTTTAGTTAGTTTGCCCCAGTTTAGGGACCTGAATGTACTTTTTCATCACGCTAGAGTCACTGCAGGGGTTTTGGTAAGGAGAAAGGACATTTTTCTTTTGCAGAACTTGAGATCGTGTGGAAAAATAAGGCCCTAAGGGGGGGTAAATTTATGGAAAGTCATCTTTACATTAATCATCAAAGCTGATGTCTAAATAAAGACAATGCGATTGAGATTTTGCACATTTTTAAATTACTAGTAGTGGATAAAGCACTCAATTTTCACTTACCATTCCTGCTTCAAAAAAAGAAGTGTTAAATTTTCTTCCCAGCAGATTCAAGGAGATGCTTGCTTATTTGTTTTCATTTGTTGCAGATAATATGCATGCAGAGAGGTTTTCCTTTTCTGAGTCTCATTTTCCATCCACATATTCAATGTCTTCTTGGCTTGCACTTAGGATTGTTGATTTTCCACCCCTCTAGTTCTGCCTGCTGGGCCACTGGCTACAGTGTGCAGGTTGGGATCATAGGACTGTGACTGGCCAAGGGGGCACATGGTTCTGACTCTCAGCCCATGAGGTTTGCCAGGTTGGGCTCCCTGGCTTGTGGCTGCATTACATTTTTATAATTCTGTCGTGATTCAGAGATGTTAAGTAAGTTGGTACTTGAGATAGAAAGGTTTAGGATAATCTTATTTAACCAATGAGGCCCAGCTCAACGGGTAATTGTCAGCCCTTCTACCCATCTCCCAGGGTTTATCGCCTCAGGCATGGCCCTGGTATCTGTGTGCAGAAACAAACCTGTCAACTCTTCTTTCCCATCTTAGCAACCTCCTTCCTCTCAGACCAATTCCCAGTGCTAAGAACCTGGTTACCCTTCCTCCTTGTGATTCCTGCAGCTAGAATAACAAATTGTCACGAAACATATCCTCTCACATTTCTGGAGGTCAGAAGTCCAAAGCCAGGCTCTCAGCAGGGCTGCACTCCCTCCAGTGGCTCTAGCAGAAAACCCTGTCTCGCCTCGTCCTCCTCCAGCCTCTGGTGACAGTTGATGTTCCTTCACTTGTGGCAGCAGCATCCAGTCTGTGCGTCTGTCCTCACCTAGCCTGCTTTCTTGTGTGTGACTCTGTGTTCTTTCCTGTCTCTCAATAGAACTTTCTCATTTAGGGCCCATCCTAATCCAGCATGATCATATTTCAATCTTTGCCTTCATCATGTTTTGATGACCTGATTTTCAAATAAGATCACATTCTGAGGCTGTGACATGACATGATTTGGAGTGGACGCCATTCACCCCACCACACTCATCTACTTTAACTTTATCAAGACTTCAATGCAAGCACGTCTACTTCTTACATCCCCTGTTTTACCTCCTTTTCCTGTTTTCAACTCCCTGTTCCTCTTTTCCTCATTTACCCCTTTAAGAATGACTTATAATTTGTGTGCACAAGATTTGACTATTCTGCATTTTCGAAGAGATGTACAAAGGTAAGCACATATTTATCAGAATTTCATATAGAATTAGAGGGAAGTCAAAGTCAGGAAAGGAGGGACTGATCTATTCATATACAATTATTTTAGTATTATATTTGTATTAATTTCCTCAACCCATTTGAAAGTTCCCCAAGGAAATGTGTGGTTTTCAACTTAATATGCAAGTTCCTAGCAGAGTGTCTGGTATGTAGTAGGTGCTCATAAATTAGAATGAGATGAGTCAACTTCTTACCTTTGACTGTGTCCTAACCAAACATTGCCAAATAAATGGGAAAGGACTGGACTGGCACAAAATTCTCTCTTCATTGCTCATGGACTTGCCTCTCAAGTCCAGCCTCTATGGATACAACCTGCTAGTCTAGTATTGTTGAAGAAAATGCACTTTGATCTCACTTTTCTCAGGAATGACAAAGACCACACTTACAGTGATGATGGGGATAATTTTTTCTGTCTTCCAGAGGAGAGGAACAAGAGCATCCTCAAGAATACAATAGGGGGCGTGAAGGGCTTTCATGAGCCTCTGTAAAACACAGCTGTGGCCGGGCGTGGTGGCTCACGCCTGTAATCCCAGCACTATGGGAGGCCGAGGTGGGTGGATCACTTGAGGTCAGTCAGGAGTTCAAGACCAGCCTGGCCAACATGGTGAAACCCTGTCTTACTAAAAATACAAAAAAAAAAAATTAGCATTATACAAAAATCACACACACCTGTCGTCCCAGCTACTTGAGAGGCTGAGGCAGGAGAATCACTTGAACCAGGGAGGCAGAGGTTGCAGTGAGCCGAGATTGCGCCACTATACTCCAGCCTGGGCGACAGAGTGAGACTTTGTCTCAAAAAAATAAATTAATAAAAATAAATTAATAAATAAAACACAGTTGTAAAGCATATGTCTTGTCCCTCTAGTAAGAAAGGCAAGTCCAGAGGCCAGAAGTGAAGCCCGGCCTCTGTGTTTCTAACATCAAGGATGCTGCCCTGCCCAGGACCAACACCCGGCAAACTTTGGATGATGTCTGTAAGGTGATGTTCATCAACATCTTCAACAGCAAGCTGAAAGCCTAGCAGACATGCTCACTGTCAGTCCTCTGGAAGGCCCAAGAGAGCCCTTGCCTGCTACCTCAATAGATGAGGACCTCCAGGGCTACCTGGCCTTTGTGGATTCCAGACGTCCTGTATCAGCCGAGCTCCAGGAGAGCCCCAGCAGCACTCTCTTTTCCTGCTGCCTCGGTGCTCAAGACAATGGTCTTTTTGAGTGTCCAGCTGATTCTGTTGCTCACTTCTGCCTCTCCCATTGTGTGGATGCCTCTCATCCCTTGCCTGAGGTAAGCCTACACTTACTCTGAGGTTTTGAATCTGACTCAGTGACCTTCAAGGCTCTCCCTCCCAGCTGCCTGTGGCCCAGGCCGAAACACAATGTTTCATGTGGTTTCAGGGATGAGGTCACACCCATTTTCTTTGCAATATCCTTAACAAATTTTCATTTGGGGAAAATAAAGAGTTGTTAGGAAAGCAGCCTTTTCTTTCACATCATTTCTCCTTATTCTCTTTTCTTTTTCCTCTTCCTGGTTTTTCTAAATTCCAACCCCATCTAATGAAAAGGGAAACTGTTACTAATAGCAATTTAGCTTAAATGCATTGCTTTTAGTAGCCATGGGGACAAAAATATCAAAGAGCCATAAGTAGAATAAGGGTAGAAAACTTCTGCAAAGCTACAGGGCACATCCTGATAATACCAGTACAAAGCTGATGTCCCTTTTCTGCAGAGGATACACAGTGCAGACGAGCCTGCAGGTCACCCGGTAGCCGTAGAGCAGTAGAAGTGTGTACCATGTTATTATGTCTGTAGTCTATGCTGAGGCCTGGGAAGGGCCAGAGACAGCATGCTCTGTTTATATTCCACATTTGCCAAAAAGACCCTCTCCACAGCTTTCTCCCAGGGCTTGATCTAGAAAACCCAGAGATCCTTAAGTTCCACCCATCCCTTGCCTTCAGGCTAACTGCTGTTAGAGTAAGAAAAATGTCCCTGAATGTGCCTGGTCTCCTGCTGGGAGTATCATTTGTCAGTCAAACCAGGTGAATTAGCATTTTGTCCCGATTTACTTTAGAAGAGGAAATGAAAACTATCTCTAGATGCATTTTTGTATCCTTTGCTTTGTGCTGTCATAAAGAGCTAAAATAATTTTTCCGTGTTATTCACTAATTCCTGTTTTGTCTCTGAGGGTGGAATTCATGCCATAACACTTTCTTTCTGGGGTTTCTCACAGCACACAGCACAAGCCTTAGGTACACAGTAGGCATTCAGCATTCATTAAACCCCTTTTTGATCAAACGATTAAGTTACAGGATTGAGTTCTACTTGCTGGACCTCTGCTTTCAGTATTCCATTTGGGTTTCTTTTTTTTTTCCCCCTCCCTTGGATATAATTCATAGTGAACTGATACTCTTGGTGTCTTTGTTCTACATGAAGAGGAGAAGAGAGGAAAAAAATATGATGGTAACTACCTATATCAATTTCCATATGACACAAGCTGCAGGGTCATGTTTTAATGTTCATTAGAATCCTGTACAGCACTGAGAAATCTAGTGTTGATACATGAAGAAGACAAACTATCGTGAATGCATTTACTCCTCTCATAGAACTACAGATCAATACTTTGTTAATATTGACTTCCTTCTGTATTAGTCCATTCTCACGCTGCTATAAAGGACTGCCCGAGACTGGGTAATTATAAAGGAAAGAGCTTTAATTGACTCGTAGTACTGCAGGGCTGGGGAGGCCTCAGGAAACTTACAATCATGGCAGAAGGGGAAGCAAACACGTCCTTCTTGACATGATGGCAAGAAGGAGAAGTGCCGAGCAAAAGGGGGAAAAGCCCCTTATAAAATCATCAGGTCTCATGAGAACTCACTCACTATCACAAAAACAACATGAGGGTAACCAGCCCTGTGATTCAATTACCTCCCACCGGGTCACTCTCATGACACATGGGGATTATGGGAACTACAATTCAAGATGAGATTTGGGTGGGGACACAGCCAAACCATATTACCTTCTATTACAGGGAGTGCTAATTTGTCTCTCCCTCTAGAAATGTAAACTCCATAAGGGCAGGGATGATGATGAAGAGTCTATGCTATTTTGTTCAATTCTGTATCCGCAGTTCATAGAACAATCCCTAGCACATGGTATGCACACTGAATAAATATTTGTGGAAAGACTGAATAGGATTTATGTTATGTGTGGTATAATCTTACAGATTATGGTAATCAGCAAAGTAGAAATTAGACTCATCTCATATGTCTGAAATCTGTCCTTGGGGTTTGACATCAGACTGTGACTCCCACTTGGGTTTGAGCTGGGATTCTGTACAAAACCTCAGCCCCATGCTTTAGGTAACCACAGGGTCTGCTTCTGGAAGAGAAGAAGTGTTTCAGTAATGAAGGGAAATGGTGACCCGTAGGAAAAGTTGATGTAATGGAGATGAGGGAACAGACCCACTCGTGGATACTTCCCTACTGAATACATTTGTGTATGTGGATGTCGATAGCTACCACAGAGGCCTTTCACAGTATCCTCTTTCTCCCCTTTGCCTCACTTAGTTATTCTTTACCCCTCTATAGTAATAGTTTGAGTTTTGATTCATGTTGATTTTATTTATTGACAGAGTCTCACTGTGTCACCCAGGCTGAAGTGCAATGGCATGATCACAGCTCACTGCAGTTTCAATCTCCCTAGGCTCAGGTGATCCTCCCACCTCAGTCTCCCAAGTAGATGGGACATACCTGGCTAACTTTTCTATATTTTTTGTAGAGACAGGGTTTCTCCATGTTGCCCAGGCTGGTCTTGAACCCCTGGGCTCAAGTCATCTGTCTACCTCAGCCTCCCAAAGTGCTGGGATTGCAGGTGTGAGTCACTGTGCCTGGCCCATGTTGATTTTAATACTTAGAAAGAATCAAAGAAGATTGATACTAGTCACTGTTAATGATGTTTTTTGGGTTACTACATCTTAGTCATCTTCGTTTCCTCTGAGAACATATTGACCTCTCAGATATAAACATGGGTTTGTTAACCTTGCGGTACACTGAGGCTGAAAGATCATCAGCTCTATTTTTCAGATGGTGAGACCAAAGCTCAAACACTTACCGGGGCCAAGACAGCCTATTCTGCTATTATGGTCTTTTATCCTGGTACCCAGGCCTTCTTGACCTCTTATTGCCAGAATGCAGTAGGATTTTGACTTGTCCCTACTATTTGATGCAGAAAAGGATGAGTCCCATGGTTCTAACAGTATCTTTTTTTATGCTGTACATTTATTATACTGGAATAAAAGCCTGGGCAAAGGAGACCAACTATAAAGCTCTTTGAATTTAGGACTTGTCAGTCCCTACAGGGAAACAGAGGGCGTTAGAGAAAAATGAACTGGTGGAGATTATGCGGCCTCAAAAGGTTTTTAAATAATGAGCGATCTCTGGTCTATACATTAGAGTGTAAATTCCAGATGCTTGAATTTTCAAGTTTTCAGTCCTGAGGGTGGGATGTAGTACAAGTTACAGACTCTGGAGCCAGACTGTGTTGGCTCCACCATCTGCTTGCCCTGGGACCTTGAGCAAGTTACACGACCCCTCTGTGTGTAAGAGTCTAAATCTGCAATACTCCCCACCTCACTGGGCTGCTGTGGGGATTAAAGGACTTAGCACAATTCATACTTAAAACACTTAGAACAGCAACTGGCTCACAGTGCGCATTCAACAATTGCTCTACGATGAGCATAACGATGGTGATTTCCCATTCTAACTGGGGGCAACAAGTATACTTTTCTCTCATTTTGTCTCATGTCATAAAATGGCCATTTCTATAACTTTTTAACATTCAGATTGCTGGATTTTACCCCCAAATGAAGCTCTTTGGATATTTCCAGCAAAGGAAAAGAAGAGGAACAAGACTTAGGAAGAAAGCAGAGGAGTGTTCACAGACATAGTAGAAAAAATAATTAATTCTTGAATTCACTCAAGAATTAGGATTTGCCTTTATTAAGTATCTGCCATATGCAAAATATTGCACAGGGATGTGAAGGGTGCATATCACACACGTGTACATGCGTGTGCATGCAAGTATACAATATAGTTCCTGCCCTCAAAGAACCTATACCCGTCTTCTCTAGGAAGCCTTCCTCGGGACTCCAGGCAAAATTAGGATTGCTCCTCTGTTTGCTCCTAGCACCCTGCACTCACCTCTGGCACTCATTTATTATTAGGCTTTGTAATCACCTGCTGTCTAGAAACCAATGAGCTTCACAAGCTTATGAATCATGTCTTCTTAGCTTTTGTAGCACCCAGCAGTAGTTTGCTGGACAGGGCAGGACTGGACAGAGCTAGCAGAGGTTCTCTGGTATGGATCTTCCTCTTCTTCCATTGGCTTTGGTGCTACACCTTTAGCCTTAGACCTACCTTACTTTTAAGACTAATTGTTATCCTTGAACCCTTCTTGCTTCCTCTTCACCTGTGACCTTCTTTCTTTGCCCCTTTGATCCCACTGGAGACACTAAGCCTCACCACCAAGCCAAGAGAAATAAGGGGTCTGTCTTCTTCCACTGGGAAGGAAGTGTAGAGGGCTCAGCTCACCGACAGCTTCTTGAGCTTCAGGACATCAAGGCTGTGCAGGTTCTGGCTTTTGCATCCCTGGAGGTGGTCTCTCTCTTTAAGATTTCTCTGCCTATTCACTCATCTTCCACTAGTAAGAGAAACCCAGTATGGAGTGAAACTGGGGGCTGTAGGGGGAAGGTTGGCCAAAGCTTTGATCAAAGAACTTCCCCATCAGCTGTGTTTACCTTGTTCCTTCTTCCCTGTCTCCCCAGCCAGGTTCTCAAGCACAGACTTCTCAGGCCAGCCATTCCTGGGGCAGCAGATGGATCCACTCATTCCCTCAGTTGAGTCTCTGCAGCTTCTGGCTTCTGTCAGTGGTTGGAACTTTAGAACTGTTTGAAAGCAACCACACATTGTGTGTCTGCAACGTGTTTATGCCAAGCACAGTTTCATGCAGATGTTCATAAACACGCTGCCAGTTACCAACCATCTTTCTGTCAGTCTGAATTGCTATTTGCTTTTCCAATTCAAACTGAGAGGCACATACTCTGGTGACATGCAGGCTCCCTAATACACGCTATCCACTAAGACATCAGCCAATGTGCTTTCCCCCACGTTCATGTTCACACACTCGCCATGCACCCCAATGTCTTCTGCACAGACCTGCCTCATCTCTGTCTCCCTCTGTGGTTATGTTTAGCCAGATCCTTCCTTTGTAATTGTTTTTGAAACTTAGCTT